TGCAAAAGGAAGCTATATAAGTGAGCTACTGAAGGCCTTTTTCTATAAGGCTGACTCACAGGATCTTGTCAGTAAGTCACTCCACTGTCTTTCTCGTCTTCTGTTTAAGGACCTCATGCTACGTCACGGTTGGAGGACAGGTGCCATAGTTCCAGAATTAGAAACAGAAATACGAATCATCAATACAGAACAATATATGCACTCTTTGACCTGGCAGCAAGCTCTTACAGGTCTTCTGGAGAGAATGCAGGTAAAATAGACTGAGCTAGATTAAGTTGTACATGGGCATCACTGCATAGTTGTCATTTCCTTCAATTAGATTAAGCACAGTTCTTAGATAGGCTTTCTTGATTGTGTTGTATTCTGAAATGTTTTCTGCAAATATTGGAATATGTGAGGGTTTTTTTTCTTTTAGAAACCTCATCTTTAGAAACAGCATTGTTCAGTCACTGGTCTTTTGCTTTAATTTTCTTCTTTTATTTTAGATGTATCAAGATGCAGAATCAAAGCAAGTGCTTTTGGAGTGGATGAAAGAGCGACAGGAGATTAGGTGAGCTATCTTGGTTATGATATGTTCTTTTATTTGTGAAATATTCTAGGAATGGTTTAAAATATATGCTTTACAAATTGCAAGCATAATGTTCTGTTTTAAGTAACATAGTGTTACAACTTTTTAATTGGTGCCCTGTAAAATATTTTTATATTGTGAAACAGTTTATGTTCTGGAAAGATAAAGAATTTGCAGGTTTGGAACTTCTGGATTTCTCATTTTTGGCTTTGATAAAGATTTGTTTTTTTATTTCTTTGATTTTACTTTCCCTCGTGGCTCACTTTTGTTTGTTTGCTTTTTTCCGGAATCATATTTTCTTTTAAAATTTTTGAATTTCTTTATGCTTCACTTTTTAAAAGCTCACCATATCTCCTGATTTTGTCCTATTTTTTTTTGCTCCTTGTGCTCTAAAGAAGAAACAAACCATTTTCTAAGATAGTCAGAAAGAGAAAAAAATGCACAATTGGGATGGAACTAGCTGATTATTCAACCAAAGCTAGAGACCAACTTTTATGGTACACATTCTTTCTCTTCTGGAGGTAGCAGGATAAGGTGGCTCATTATGGAATGCTTCTGTAATATCTGTACATTTTCTATATTCTTTTCTTTTCCTCTCCAAGGTTCTCTATCTAACTCTATTATACCCACTTCTTTCCTTTCAGGTCACTTGCAAAGAACCTGTTTAACCCCCAGTTCGGTAGCATTTTTCGAACCTTCCACAACCCAACCTACTTTTCTCGAAGACTGATTCGTTTTTCTGATATTTACATGGCATCCATTAGTTGCCTACTGAACTATGATGTGAATTTTACATTTTATCCTCGCCGAACGCCTCTACAGCATGAAGCTCCTCTTTGGATGGATCAGCTCTGCACAGGTTGCATGAAGACTCCATTCTTAGAAGAAATGGTGCACATTCGATAAAAGGGATTATGACCTGCATAGTAGAATCTTAGATTACTTTCAGGGGAGTGCTGCTATTTTTTGATCATTGTTGTACCTCTGTTCTGAGCAATAGAAAGGTACCTGAGATAAATGAATAGAAAAGTGACACAAATTTTACAAATCTGAAATCCTGGTGGTAAAATATATTAACCATGCTTGATTATTTTCTAAGAATAAGTTTTAAATTTGGCATCTGTAATTTAGTCACAGCTGTCTTTGTGTGCTCAGAAGGGTTAGACATGTTGGTCGGGTTGTAGTGATTCTGGCTATAGAGATTACAAATCTATTTCCACTTTAGAACAACATATTCAAAATTTAACTTCCACATGAATCCTTGCTAACATCACATATACAATATATGAAATAATAGAAATTTAAATAGTTCCTATTCAGTTCGCCAATCAGTTCGCATTCAGTTACAAATTTGAAGATACTAACTGATGTATTTCTAACAAGTTGAGTATAGTACAGGTCTGTATAAACCAGATATGCCATTGGACCACATTCATTCATTCATGTGTGAAGTGACCTCACTCAGATTCACTATTTGATAACATCAGTTAATGTGATATTAAGTATGTAATGGCTCATTTACACATTCAAGCCATCACCTGATGCTGAGTTTATCAGATGATGTATATTTATATATTAAAGCACCCCTAGTTAACATACAAAAAAGCAGGTTTTCGTAACAGTAGGTGAATAAATTATCTTAAATTGAGTAACCTATTTTATAAAATGCTAATTTACTTACTGAATCTATAAGAATTTTTAGACATCTAAGCATAAATAGATGTGTAGATTAACCTGTCCTCTAGATATTGTATGCATAAAAGATTAAAATAGTGATTGCTAGAGTCATTACCCAACTATAATGGAAAGGATTTTTCCTCTATTCTATCACTAACAGCCCACATATCAGCAAGAGCTAAAACAATCATCAGAAAACAAGTCAGAAGCTTATGTAGTATAAAAATAGTGGTCTCTTAGGAATGGTGAATCATCAAAACCAAATTGTTTTGTGTTTCAGAATTTGCAGGGACTTACCACGACCTTTTAAACTTAATTCAGAGATGCTCTTTTTTAAAAAGCCTTAGAGAAGGCTTATGTCTTAGATTAGATGTAAGTGTTGCGGGATTCTTATTTGTTCTGCATTTGATCATGTATTGCCAGTCAGGGCCATTGCTGTATCAGAGTCAGATATAAGAGATACATATTGGGAATGAAATGTCCTTGAATTGGAAGCTCTTATTTAAGGCTGGATTTAGGAAACTCTGTATATTAAGGTCAAACTTATGTGTTGGGTTTTACCTGTTAGGTTCTGAAATGCTGCTATAATTCAAGTTATATCTATAAATGAAATAATGATTGACTGAGGCTACTTAGATTATTAGAACTATTCAAATTCTTACTAGAGATGGTTTTCAAGGCATTGGCTTTCAAACAATGGAAGAACGCTTGAATATTCCAACAAGATACTGAACCAAAGAAATCTTTGAGTAGTTACTATGTTTGTAGTTTGTGATTTCATGTTAGGGTCACATTGGGTGGTCTTCTGGATGCTAGATGCAAGATGATTACAAATTGGAAATTGGATGTTGTATACTGTACTCCACAGAATTTTTAAAAAAGTTTTTCAAAAAGTGCCTACTTTTCA